GGTGATTGTTTGTATTACAAGCTACGTGTCCCTCATGAGAATGCCCATCTCCGCTCATATCCACGAGGGTGAGGCCAGCTCGAGCCAGGAATCTCTACTAGGTAGCCTGTGCAGTACGTGGCACTTAACGAGTAACGAGATTCTTATCAGAAAAGAAGGAAGAGCAGGTTGACATTTGGAAGGTTCTCCGCAGAGTGTGGTTTAACGAACTCGTCATCTTCCTGCAATTTGTCTTGACTACTGCTTGCTACCCTGCTGTAAGTCACAAGCTTTATGTCCCGTTTTATACAGGGTGTCTGATTTCCAACAGATTCTGACTGCTATTCCCTGCTACAATTTAACAGCATTGGCCCCCGCTCACTGGTACCAGACTATTCTGCTGTCCGTCTTCACAGTTTTCGACGTTATCGCTCGATTCTGTGTGCGCCACCGTGGTCCTCTTTATTATGGGAATATCTGGATCACTGCGGTTATCCGTAAGTTCTCATTCCCTCATCCTGTGAGTTGACGTTTGATGAGCTGCTTGTTAGGTATGTTGATCTTCCCCTTGGTCGTGATGTGTGCTACGGGCTTCTTCCGCAACGATTGGTTTTCGATGGCTATTGTTGCCTTATTCGGATTCGGAAACGGCTTCTCTGGCAGTCTCTCCTTGATCACTATCAACGAGATCCCTGGCCTTTCCGGTCCCGAGCTTAAGGCGACAGGCCGCTTCTCTGCCGTGGCGGTCAACTCAGGTAAGATACCAGAGGGCCATATGCTTCGTTCGCGTTCATTGAACGCGTTGTTTTATTCAGGTCTATGTGTCGGAGGTTTCGTGGCCATGGGTCTCGGTGTTTGGCTTGGATTGGCATAAGAAGGCTACTAGTTGTTGATGCCTAACGTCGACAGCTAGTCAATGACGTTCAACTCAACTGCTCTGATGAAAGTCTGTAGGATGCTACATTTGTATTGTATTTTACTACGCTGATAATTGCACGCAAGAAGGATTTTTTCCTCAAGTGGGAGTGTAAGTAACTGAGTGTTGTTGGGTTGATTATAACTAAACTGGGCCTTAACAACTTGTCCGTATCAGCAAGCTTAGCTCATCGACGCATTGCGCCAGTAATCACGTTGAACAACCACATCAGATCCACCAAGTGGATTACATTAGATGAATCGCCCATGCCAACTTTGAACGCAACGATTTTCTCCTGAGAGAAGCAGTACTATTCTGTTACGCATAAAACACGAGTTTTCCATCGGTTTCGTAAATTCAACTCGATATCAATCACTCGCTTGGCGCACTCTTGCCGATAGGTATCGGCTTTCGATATCGATCGCAAGCCCCTGATGGCCTTCTCGTTAGCCTCTGAGCACATCTGAATAATTCCCTCACCTGATATCCCCTTGGAAGCAAGATAGTCCCGTATATCGTCGGGTATAACTTGGGTGTCATTCACATCCACAGCGAAGGCTGCATTCGAAACCTCTATCGTTATAAAGTGGTCGTGAGGATTATCAAACTCGATGAAGCCGTGGGTCAGTAGAAGCATCTCGTTGGTGTATAGTCCGTAGTTATTGAAGATCTCTTCACCCTTTTTCACGGGCTTCTCTGCGAGCATCTGGAAACCTTCTTCAACTTCGCGCACTCTTGTATGCCATTTGGTCGATGAATGATTGAACTGGTCCGCGAGAGGTATCACACAAAGACCGCAAACCTCCGACTCAAAAGCTCGAGACATCATAACCTCAACGGCCCAACGAATCATCGCTCGAGGGGAATTAGGACAGAGCTCTGCCACGCTGTCGACGACTTCTAGAGAGAGCTGATGCATCTCCCATACAGTAGTGCCTTTCAGGCAGACGAGCTCATCAGCTGACCACTCGAGAGGATGCTCGAATTCGGACGGTAAGCTCTGCAAGTAATCGTGGAATGGTGAGTTCGGATCGGTTCTATGCTTCACCAGTGAAGCCGCGAGCATAACCTGTGGTTCATATAAGCCTTGAACCCCAGAGGGTGTTACACACGCGGAGTGAGGGACGAATAGAAGTCGCTCGCCCTGGCAAATGTCAGCCGTAGCCGTACAACCAATCATACCATTCGTGGCGTGGAACCAGGAGACGGCGGGATGCAGTTGTATGCCTGATCACAACGATACTCAACTTTATGTATATCACACGATTACCCTGTCGGATCGCCCACTGTTGAGCGAGTGGCCCGCGAGCCGATCTCCGTTCCTCGTCATCCGGAGTGAGCTCCATTGACTACTAACTAATTGCAGTCTACAATAACATACTTCATCCACTATGCCGAACTCAAACTACGCGATAACTCGTGGAGGAACGTATTCTACGTGCATTTTACAGACGTTACTCAATAGCATCTTCATCACTACTGGAACTCGACTTGCCATCAGAATCATTATCACTTCGCACACCACAGCTCTCGAACGCTGTAAAAACGGCCGCGTCATAACTCTCCATGCCAGGATAAACTGACCCTCTTCTTGCCCGAGGCCTCTTCATCGGTTCTGCATCATCATCACCATCCCCGCGAGAGCGCTTGCCTCGCTGCACTATGTCTCCGCCTTCGTCAACACTTTGAGACTTATCGGGAACAACTGCAGTATCTTCGCTCACTACTTGTTGCTCTTGGTCAGTAGAAGCCGATAAGTCGACGACGTAGAGGTCTGGACCCACTGTTGTGACACCATGGCCATTCTCCCTGAAACAGCTCATGGCCTTAGCGTTGGCTATAGGATCCCGGGGATGGTGCATCCATATGAATCTCTGTACACGGTTGTGTTGTACCAGATTTCGGATAGCAGCCAGGAAGAGATCGACATCAGCTTCCCTGTATATGAGATCAGCACCGAGGATCACATCAAAGTCGCCGAGCTCGGCCGA